AAAATAATAATTGAAAATACATTTTACTAATAAAATAAAGAAAAAAATATAAGAAAAAATAGTTAAAATGACCTTCTACAGCAACTTCAACCAATACAGCCAGAAAAGTAACTCCAATCTTACTTTTTCTTATTATTACACAATTCAGCCCGTAAAACTAAAAGTTATGAGTTTGATGAAAAAAATTAGCTTATAAGCTTGAAAAGCCAAAAATCATGACAACCAAAAGGGCACTATATTACAAGAGATAAAATCTAAACGATTGATCAATGTAAAAAAACGTACATTAATATGGCAGTAAATTAAAAAGTACGGAGTACTACGTATATCCATTTCTTCTTCGAATTGATAGTTAGTACTTATATTACCGGATTTAGATGAATAAAGATTTCTTTGGATTGATTCCACATAACACTTCCAAATTAGACAAAATCTCAACAAACACTTCTTGAACTCTACATGTAAACAGGTGTATCTACACACGCTCAGACTATTTGGAGTGGTGTGAGAGTCTAAATGTCAAAATGGACTCCGTCCATAAAAAAACAGGGATATGAAAACAGTGTTTTGACTCCTATTTCTTTGCATTCCAGCATCGTCAATAAAATAAACTCTGCACATTTTTTTACATATCAATTTAGTAAAACATTAATTAAATTATTATAAGTAATGTTATCCTTTTAATTTTTTCCTTGAATAATTGTTAAATAAAAAATACACATTTCAATGTAAAACAAATAAATTTCATTAAATGTTTTTAATGTTTTTTGGTTAACAAAAAATTAACTTAGTTCAAGTGAAGTTCGATTATGTAAAATTCTGTTATATGTGAAAGCTCCATGAATAAAAAAATTGTGTTTTGTATTTTTTGGATTCAAGAAAACTTCAAATCTTCAACAATACAATTTTTCAGATATTTTTCTCATTTTATATATTACATATTGGTGTCATATGAAAAATTTTCATAAATTTTTTTCATGAGTTTTGATATTTTTTTTGAAAAATTTTGAAAACAAATTAAAAAGTTATAAAAGTTCAAAACAATTTGGGATTTTAATGACATCATGATGACGTCATCCAAATACATAATCCTAGCGCAGTGCGGCCTCTCTTTCCTTTCCTTTCCTTTCTTTTTCCTTTCTTTTTTTTCTCCTTTCTTTTTCCTTTTTTTCCCTTTCAACTCACCCTCTATTTTTAGAATCCTTCATCCCCTATCCCACTTTTAATCTCTCTTTCACTCCTCCACTACATCAAATTAAGAGTCAAATATCTCCATTTTTAAACTTTTTACTCCTAATTGTACACCATTACAAATGGTCTAACAAATTGTTTATAGCTAGGGTGCTAGCATTTTCTCTCTCATCTCTCTCTATCTACATGATATGGTCGTACACGTGAGTAAAATTATTCAATCATAGTTGTTGTACACATCCTTAAACTCATCTTATACCCACAATGTTTGTGAAAGTTTTTTTTGTTTGTGTCACTATTTCACATACAGAATATGATTTCTTTGTTGAGATTGCGAAGTTGGTCCACTCCGATCACTTTTTCACATAGCTCTTTGTTGATTATATGATTTCTTGTTTTGGACTGAGCATTTATTAGTTTGCCAATAGTTACAATTAGGGTTTATTCCATGTACATTAAACATTATTAGGGCTTTTGGTGGCCAATAGTTACAATTCTCGAAGATTCTCACTTTGTAACTTTAATTAATGATGTATATCTAGGAGTGAAATCGCTCACCTTTCCTCATGATTAACATATACTCCCTTCATCCTGCTAACAATGAGACAAGAGGGAGCGACATGCAAATCAATAAAAAATGTTTTATGTGGTTGATATTGAATTGATAAAGTAAGAATAAAGTAAGAATGATTTAGAGTCACACAACTTTGCCAAATTTGGTATGAGTCGATCATAGTGGGACGGACCGATAAGATAAAACGGAACAATCATAGCGGGACGGAGGTAGTACTATACTACTATGTATCTCGCTCTGGTCCACGTACGCAATTGAGATTTCATTTTTTAAGTACTCAGATCCCTAATGATTTCTCTTTAACACTTTAAAATCCAAAATTTCCTCCAAAGCTTGTTTTGTCAAGGGTCTTCTCTTCCCTGATGAATCATCCGTCCCTCGATTGTTCATTTGGAAGGAAATAACGTTCATAAATTAAACAATACAAGCTCTTAAGTTTTAAATTGGATAGATAGAACTTTTAGTCCCAACGCAACGTGATATCGTTAAGAAGGTGAAAACCTTTTTAAGTTCTACATGTTCTTAGAAGTCCGCATATGATAGATACTTTACAAATGAAAAACAGGATGTCAAATTAACAGGAGTTGGTGAATTAGGTAAACTCTGAATTGGTTTATCTTTAAAAAATTGAGTTTTGCTAGAGGTACCCCATTTGGTGCCCCATTTGTACCTGATGGGGTTATGGGACTAGGCACAGAGCCTAATCGGCCCATGCCCCGAACTTGGACCAGCAGGCTCAAGCCCAGCAACCCAGAGCTTGAGTCGGCCCAACCGATCAGGTCAATCAAGGAGCGGAAGCCCAAGAGAGCCTGTCGACCAGCCCAGCGGGAGCCTGTCCTTCAGCTCGGCCAACGGGGAGTCTGTCTTCCAGCCCAACAGAGAGCCTGCCTACCGGCTCAACCGGAAGCCCAAGAGAGCCTGCCTCCCAGCCCGGTGGGGAGCCTGCCGACCAGCCCAACTGGAAGCCTGCCCTCCAGCCCGACCAACGGGGAGCCTGCCTTCTAGCCCGGCCAGCAGCCTGCCTCCAACCCAACGGGGAGCCTGCCTTCCAACCTACCCGAGAGCCTGCCTCCGACCCGGTCAGAAGTCGTCCTCCAGCCCAGCGGGAAGCCCACGGTCTAGTCCAGCAGGAGGGAGCTCAAGCGTCCAGCCTGCCAGCCAGGCTGACCTGCCAACCAGAAAGAGTAACGGCCAACAATCAATGCGATATTAATTATGTATTTAATTCCGTATTAATGTTGTAATTAATTGATCATTATTGTATTCGGCAGTTACCATTTGTAATCGCCTATAAAAGGCAAGTTCGATTCAAATAATGGACAAGCTATTCTTGGCTACCAAATTCCCTCTGCAACTTTCCTTATTCATATTACTTTCTTGATTCCCGCCTGAGTGTCATACGTAGCTTTCCTAAAAGCCTACGAGCGTCCTATTTTGGACCAATAGTACCCTTCATATATTTGTGGTTCACAAAAGTCCAACACATTAAATGAATTGCTCCATTTTAATGAAGTGCCTTTGTGAACCACAAATATAGAGAGGGGTACAAAATGGGGTATAAATTAGGATGGCAATAGCATTTGTGTACAAAATTCTAGTGCAACAGAAAACATAACTACGCGTCCAAATCTAAGCTCTCGACTTAAGTTTTTTGCTATGCCCAAAAGACTCCAAGTGTCTCATACTTGATTGATCGTTAGAGTCCGAAGTGCAAATTTTGACATTTTGTGGGTAATTGTACATTTGCTAGCATGCAGTAAAACGTTAAAGCACACATGGATAACCATGCGGTCAGTAGATAAAAGAGTTAAGATACCAAAATGATAAAGTTGTGATTCGAGTCTTTTGAAAAAGCTGGCGGCAATAAGGGATAAAATTAAGAACTGTTTTAATAACCAAAATGATACCATAATGGGTTTAACCGCTAGATCTATTAATGGTAAACTGATTTCTAAAAAAAATTTACGATCTTTTGAGAGTAAAAGGGACGGTGAGAGTGTGGATGAGCTTCGTTTGGAAATCTTATATCCCTCCTAAATTCTCTTTCATGACTTGACTTGCGTTTAGAAATCGGTTACCTACCCAGGATAACCTTGACTATATGTATATAGTCAATAGGTGTGATCTTTGTAAAAGGGACTTGGAGACAATGCCACACCTCTTTTTTGCTTGCCCTTTCTCCTGCAGGGTATGGAAAAGAATTAGGGAGTGGATGAAGTTGGAGCACCAAATGGCCACGCTACAAAGCTCAGTCAAATGGTTACTCAAGAACTACAAAGGGTCAAACTTGAGGGCTAAGGTGGTGCGGCTTGCGTTTTGTGCCGCGGCATATTACATATGGCATGCGAGAAATGCGAGTAGATTTGATGGGATCATAAAGACTGAAGACGAGGTCATTGCGAAGATAAAGCATGTGGTGTACAAGATCCTTTTCTCTATATACCCTCATGACATGATCCAATTTTGATGGGAGACCGGCTGACCGCATCAAAGTCGTGGCATCAACCGCTTTGTGAGTAGTGTGTGCACCTTGCAACACTACGATTGCTTCTTTTGGGTTAAGAGGAGTGTACATCAGAACCTCCTATTAGCTGTGCTTTTCCTATTCGGATGGATGTTTTTAATGTTCTGTGTGCGTGCATCCTGCAGCACCGATTGTATTTTGATTAGATCGAATAAAAACCTCTCCTAACCCAACACTAGGTAGGGGTGGGGGAGGTTTTAGGAGATCTAGAACCTTTTTGATGTATTTTTTTCTGGGTGTTAATATATATTTACATTTCATCCAAAAAAAAGAGTTAAGATGGCGTTCTGATTTACACCAAGCTTTTAAAAGGCGAAATCAAGTCTCAAGGCGTTAGGGGTAGCCTTCCGAGGCATAACGAGGCGTAAGCCCCAAAAATTAATTGTTTAAGTGTTGCTACAAGCCTTTGAGATATTAGAAAGTGTAGATAATTCATAACAATAACGTAGCTAAACAAAATCACAAGTAAAAGAACATAACTATAAAATATTCAAATCAAAATAACATAAAACTGAAATACCAAAGTTAAAACTCAAAAGAACATAAAACATTAAAATTCTAAGACAAGAACATAAAAGCTTAGGAATTTAAGTTTGCAAATTGACAAATCACAACTATTAATCTTCAAAACTAAGCCTATCGTCCACTTCATCAGTATCCGAATTAGTAATGTAATTCTTATTGTCATGATCATCTCCTTCATTATCACGGGCCTCATTATCTTCTTCAGTTCCAACCGTAAGTCCACCCCTACACACATAAAGTTACAAAAATAGAATGAAACGGGATGGAAGTTAAGTGTAAATAATTATATTGAAGTGACGAATAAAATATAATATTAAGTTATGAACCTCTGAATTCGTTGTCCATTTCATCAACAACTAGTGCAAGTTCATCACGTGCATCCGCACTTTCTCCATCATTTGCATTCAGTTAAGCAATCCACTCATCATCAGATCCGATGATATATTTTTGAAGATCAAATTATCCTCTTTCTTTTGTAATCGGCTCTTCCGAAACTTCAAATTCTTATTGAACATTATAAATACCAAACTATTCAACTTAATGGTTGAAAGACGATTCCTTCTCTTTGTATGGACTTGATTGAATGTGCTCCAATTTTGTTCACAAGCTGAGGAAGAACACGTCAAGCCAAGAATTTTGACCGCAAAAGCCCGTAGTTCTGGAATATGATCTCCAAATTGATCCCACCATTCCACTAAAAAATGTTAAAGCATTAAAAAAATGCAGTTTTACAACAATACTGCTTTAGTAGGCAAGGAAAGTTGTTTGTTTTAAAAAAGTAGGTAGGGAAGGTTGTTATTAATGCATTATGCAAACGGCAGCTTTCAGTTTGGGTAATACTGCAAACGGCAGTTTTCAGTTTTAAGTTTTCAGTAGGTAATGCACTAATACTGTAAATCTGTAGTAGAAAAAAAAGTAGTAGTTAGTTTAGTTACTAAGTGCAGTTTCCAGTTTAAGAGTTTAAGTAAATAAAAACTGCAGCTCTCAGTTTAAGTTTAGATCTTAAATTTAACTACACAAGTACACTATGTATAAACCTTAAACATATTAAAGATATAGTTTAATGTTTACCTGGGGAACGTGTTTTATATGAATTTTGAGCTGCCCTCATTCAAAAAAGTCTACGCTTGTATCGATATTTATCCACTTGTGCATCCGCTTTGTTAATGGTCTTGTTGTTTTTATTAAGTAAGCAACCCCAGGCCAAAAAGTTGTCATCCATCACAATCTTTTTAACCTCCTTCCCCTCAACTAAATTTGCATAATGACTTGAAGTCCATTGTTTAGAAACAAACATTCTTTGCAGGGTATCTTTTACCGTGGCCATGCAATCTAAAGTCAAGAATGCAGTAGCAAACCTCATGAGGCCTGGACGAACTACGTTTTTCCCGATATATTTCCTCATAAGATGCAAAACCCATCCATGATTATAGATAAAATTATGTGACCTTCTTAGCTTTGATCAACACATTTTTATTCTGTGTCAGCACTCCAATCTTCTCAAGCATGAGGCCAGTACAATGGACGGCACATGGCGTCCAATACAAGTGTTTCCTCTTCTCCATTAAAAGTCTCCCAGCAGCTTTGCATGCACTTGCATTATCCGTCACATTTTGCACTACCAGACTTTCGTTTATTTCCTCAACTACTCCGTCGAGCAATTCAAAAAATAAGTTACATCTTTAACTCGATCTGATGCATCAATAGATCTGAGGAAAACATTACTATATTGGGTGTTAACAAGAAATTATCAAGAAAGCATTACATCTTTAACCATGAAGACAAATACATAATAAGAAATTATAGAAGTTGGGCGGTGGGGTATTCTATAATACTTGGATGAACTCGCAAAGCAAAGCTGCAGGGAGCTCCTGAAGTCTCCGTGTGGAAGTAACAGAGGTTCAACTGAGTAAGTAGGCTAAGCCGTTGAGGTCTTGACCAGCTCTTCTTCAAGTTGTTGTTTCTTGTTTGTTGCTATCGTAGAAGAGTGGACCGACAATTGGAATTTGGAAGACGGGGAGGACCTAGGGTTGTGGCTAAGTGATAAACGATCTGCGTAATTTGTATTTTAGGATGAAAAAAATAAATCCAGGCCCCCACTTATTTTTAAAAAAGCCCAAGGTTGCATCATATAAGAGGTGTACGCCTCTTGAACGCCCGACGCCTTAAGCCCGATTCGACGCCTTTTCAAAAAAAGGCGTAAGCCTTGTTCGGGGAAGTTAAGGCTTAAGCCTTTGCGCCTCTAGTGCGTAAAGGTGAAACGCCTTTTAAAACCATGATTTACACTCACTGGGGAACCCCTACTCTTGTACTTGAAGGCACATCTTTCAGGATTTCTAAACATATCAAATTTTTGTCCTACACGAACTTGATAACAACACACACTAACTCTTAGAACCCATTAAAATAGTTAGTATTTGAAGACAGGTCTTATTAATCATATGATGACTTTGAAGTACAACTCTCTTTGACCATATACAAAGTCAATTTGCCAAAGATCTCTTCAGCTTTTACATTGGGTATATTGAATAACTGAGCTAACATGTTCTTTTAACTCGATAAATATCAAGGATCTAACCATATGAGTATGATGAATAGTTCATTGCTTAGTCACCCCTTTTGGGGACTTGATACACTCAGAAAGAATAGAGAAACTATTGTAGGACTACAAAGAATTGAGTACTATGTCGAGTTTTGTATAACATGTGAAGGGCGTAGAGTTTGTATGGTGTTAAGAAACATACTCTTTACCTTGGCAAGAAATTGTTGGCAACTGATGGTGTATGAGTTTAAAGTGAAGTCCTCAAAAATGGTTTTATGAAACTTAGAGAGAAGTCTTTGGCATCAAATAGTCGTTCGAATGTGATTTTGTCAAAAATTGTGTACATTTCATACTACACAATGCAATCACAAGTGCTATGGTTAATTGTTTAGTGGGTCGTGTGTTTCAATAGGCGGCTTCGCAAGTATGATACATATTTGATTAATACGCTCTAAAATATATCCTTCATATATGACATACATCCTTAGAGATTAATTCAAATACTCTGGCAATAATAAGAACAAGAGCTTAGATCCAGCCTCGAGTAACCTAATGTTATTTGGAATGATGTTTTTAACTACGAGTACCCTAAATAACACAAGTGACTCAACCGTGCTAGCTTGTGAAGACAAAGATGTTCTACCTCAATCCTAGGTAGGATCTCAAACAAGTATCACATGCAAAATTGAGGCAAAATTGAAGGAAAGAGAAAATACTTATTAATTCCAAAACATAGGCTTCAGAGAGATCGTAACCCATATCATTCTATGAGTATGGTACTCAAGATCATTAACATCCACCTTTAGGTGATTGCTAAGAAGTTGTATCCTTTAGATCAGAAGATGCTTGACCAATGAACTTTGGTCCCTTCTTCAAAAGCTACAAATCCTCGATTCATTATTGTTAACGGAACCTTCTCCTTTTCAACATTGAATCAAAATGGAGCGAAGTCGAGCATGACAATCATGAGGCGTCGATGGGCTTCTGCGTAACACACTTACCTTGCATGAAATATATGTCACATTTGGATGCCATGAATTATTGGTGAGGAGTCTTCATCCAATCGACCATGTGTTTCCAAAAGTTGGCACACTTAACCAAGCTTTACTATTCTAAGATGTAAGGTCCCCAAAGCCCTCTCTTTAATCAATTTGATTCTCTTAAAAGCTCAATCCATAGCATCTTTTGAAGACTACTCTAGCCTACTTTGGACGATGTTGGCTTCAACTTCGGCTAAGGTCAAGGCAACTTCCTAAGCCTTCTTCATAGTGACATTAAAGACATCTTGGACTCCTTTACCGACTTCTTGCTTGATGAGCTATTTAAGATCATCCTCAACCTTCGATTCTCCTCAATAGAGGCCTTTTCATGTTTGCTTCAACATCTAGCCTCTATACATCCTCCTCTTGAGTTTGCAACCCTTTGAGTGTCTTCCGTATACCTCTCGATCTCATGACCTTTAGGGAATCGACCCTCAACCGTATGGACTCTTTGTAAGCTTGCACGATGATAATTGGTATTAGCCAGTTGGCCAAAAGTGTTACACTTAGTACACTTATAGTCGCCCGAATCCTCACCACCAAAGTGGGGAGGAGGAGGGTCGCCTAACGCTAGAATGGGGAGGAGTGACCTAACAATTCACCTACAAAATTCGAGTTTTAGCTCTTTCCTTTCCTTCTTCTTCTCTAACCGCCCCACTAGCTTAGTGGCTTGGAAGCCTTTCACACCTTCATCTTCTCCTTCTCATGGGCCTTAAGACAAAGGCAATGCCATGCTACACCACCGGATAAATAAAGCTCAGTCCATCGCTTTAGAAATAACACGCGTCGCCGACACTACTAATCGTGTGCACCTACTGCACGGACCTGATGAAACAGCCTCCGCGGCTCATATGTCATAGCCTTAATCACGTCCACCTAGTGATCTAATTGAAACAGCAACATTTGTGACCCAATATCGCTAAGCGTGACCTTCTTGATCAATGTCGAGATTGCTGCGTTAGTATCCCCTAAAATGAGAACTCAATCAACCCATATAAGGTGATGTTTTACCACCCCTACAATGGGTGAAACCAGATCTGTGAAAGTTCACAGCACGCTTAATCTGTGACATCTTCTCCTCTTAAAAAAGCCTAGCCTTCATCTTCATCATCCAGTCCTATTCATTCCAGATTCATTCCTCTAGATTACTGAAACTATTGATATATACAGAGTATAAATTACAGGAATAACACAAAAGATGAACTGTTGCAGTTACATAAGAATAAAATAAATATATTAAAGACCCTTGCATTCATTGATGGAAGAAAGAGAACCAAACGAGTTTTACAGTTTGATAGGATAGGAACAGCAAAGAAGAACCGATCTATTCCTTAATCCGCCGGAAAAACGCAACACTCATGCGCCTTTATGTACAAAATTAGCCACTACTGATGTCAATCGCGCAATCCGCATCACATATCACAACTCCGGCGGCGGACCAAGGCTGAGATCAAGATTCAAGCTTTTCTCCGCCGCTCCGCCACCGCCAAAATGGTTCCCCTCCACCGCAGAACAGGCGGTTGAGTACCTGGAATCTCTGTCTCTAGATGGATTAACAGGGCCAATCGGGCCCACGTGGGGGAGGTTCACCGTTCCGGGTCTCCACAGCGTCTCGAACAGAAAAACCTGCTGCCCGTTCGGCAGAACCGCCACCGCCGGCTGAGGGTGGAAGATCTGATACGCCTTACCCACGGATCTATCCACCGCGCCGGAACCGTCGCCGTTTCCCGAGCCAAGGGAGCGCGTCAGATCCAGCTCAAGCGGGGGGCGCGGCGCGTGACAGCCACTGTCGCTGCCGGAGGACTCATCGACGATGCTGCTCTGGCTGGGGCTGTGGGCCGCCGAGGGAAATGGGAAGTTGGTCTTCGCTTTGGGCCCGCGGAACTTGAGGGCGGCGGCGTCGTAGGCCCTCGCCGCCTCCTCCGCCGTGTCAAACGTGCCCAACCAGACACGGCTCTTCTTGCCGGGATCGCGGATCTCGGCGGCGTACCGGCCCCAGGGCCGCTTCCGGACCCCTCTGTAGTGCATTTCCTTAATGGCGGCGTACCCTTTGCCGGCACCGGCCTTAGAACCGCCGTCATCTTTCCCTTTCATGGCCATAGCGGCGGGCTCCAAAACCTAGAGGAGAAAATGAAAGGAGTTAAGACAATGGGGGGAGTTACGGAGAGAAGAGGAAAAATGGCGTGGTTTAAATAAGGGTGGAAAAGGATGAGAGGAAAGAAATCGGTAGTGGGTGGGTCCCGCGTAAGGAGGCGGTCAACGGGACAGGATTAATTACTTACTCCGTAGGTGGCGCCGCCCAATTGTAAAAGGGAAAGTATTAAAAAAATGTTTGTCTGAATATTAGGGAGATAAATATTTTCGTGTGGGGTTACGTGGCACGCGGCCGTTTCAGAATACAAGCCGTGTGAATATTTGGCTGCGGGTGCTTTTTTGGGAGGCGGCCGATCTCCTCTGGATAGATATTTTCTCCCTTTTATCTGACACTCATCATAACATTTACTAATTTTCTTAATTTGATTATACTGCTCAAATTTAATTTTTTCCTTAAGATCCGATTTAAATGCGGAAAATAGCGAAACTATCGGAATATGTATGCTGCATCTAGGGTTTGGAGTTTTGGCGACTTTTTCCCGCCGTAAATTAGCTAGAAAATGGTGGCACACCAAGAAGATTTGTATTCTTTTCTTGTAAAATTTCGCACAAGTTCAAATACAATTATATAAATATATAATAACTTATTTGAAATTGTATTGTTAGTATAATACGGAAGGAAAATGGTGTAATTGCGCAGTTTATATCCTGGGATCGACGCACCATTAGGATGGTGCGCCCGATCCCAAAACGACGCAGTATTCATTTTTTTTATTTATTTTATTGTTAAAAATTGTAATAACTTTTTTATTTAATATCCGATTTTTATAAATTTTATATTAATTTTTTTTATTTTTCATGATCTATCAAATGAGACCAATATTGCTTATGTAATTTTAACAAATTATTTTGAAGTTACATTTGATAATATATCATGAAGTTACATCTTCTTCTGCGCGAATTACATCTTATTGTACGTGAGTTACATCTTGATATACACAAGTTACATCTTAATGTATGTGAGTTACACCATGAAATAAACCCCTGCTACATCTTTCATTTTTATCATTTGAAAAATAGTGTATGAATATGAAATACAATATACTTATTTTATGTGGATAAATAAAATTTTGTATTAAATTGGCAAAGAAAAAAATTAATTCAGTTATAACTGAATTAGTTCAAGATAAAGATAAGTAAAAAATCACAAATAATTAGATATAACTCACCCATAATTACATGTAACTCGCGCATAAATGTATGTAACTCGTGTATAACAAGATGTAACTCACACATAATTACATGTAACTCTCGCATAAAAGTATTTAACTCGTGTATAGCAAGATGTAATTCACACATAAGAAGATGTAACTCACACATAATAACTTGTAAGTGGAGTATAAGATGATGTAACTTCGTATATTATCAAATGTAACTCCAAGCTAGAAGCAAAATAAACAAACTCAATATCTTAAAAACCTCTAAAATCATATAAAAGTGATAAAAAATATATTATAGAAAAAGTGTATGCATATAAAAATATATTACAAAAAATGTATGAATGTAAAAAATTAAAATTACATAGCCAATATTGGTCTCATTTGAAAGATCATGAAAAATAAAAAATTTTGATATAATTTTTATAAAAATCAGATCAAAAATAAAAAAATTATTAACAATTTTAAGAAAAGTAGAAATAGAAAATAACAAAAGGTGCATGGTGCTCACCATGCACCGATCCCACGGTATAAGCACTGGTGTAATTGAGATTTGTAAAGACTATAGGGAAATTGCCCAAAATAGGAGCAAATGAGATTTGGAATTCCAAAATAGAAGTAGTATGTTTTTTCTTCCCGAAATATGAGTTTTTACTGTCATGTATGAAAAATACTGTCATGATTGAAAATACTGTCATTAATTATAATAAATATTGTCATGTTAAATGCATTGTACTGCAACTATTTGGCAGTCACGCCTACAAGATGACGGTAAATACTGACATGTTAGTCCCATTTTGGAAATAAAAAACATAGTAGTCCTATTTTAGAATTTCAATCTTCATTTACTCATATTTTGAGAAATCTCCCAAGACTATATAATGAAATAAATTAAACACGTATTTATTAATTTGAATGAAAGTGATAAAAATTTTGTGACTGTTAATAGCAGAAGTTAATAAAAAATTTCGAATGTGAGAAATTAGAATAGTTTTAATTGGACTGGTTTTAGTTTCAGATGATACTTAAAGAAATCAGATGAGACCAGATCAGACCAGAATGAACAGTATTTGACTTCGAATGTTGTAAAATACACATAGAATAAATATTTACTAAACTACGCTATACAAGTTTACGCCAGCCATAAATTACATTCTAAGAATGTTTTCACTTAGATTGTTTTCACTTCCCAAGCAAACGTAAACAAACTAAAATTAAACATACCAAACCAGTCCAAATACAAATACAAATCAGTGCACACCAAGAAGTTTTGTAATTTTTCTGGTAAAATTTGGCACCAAGTTCAAATACAAATATATAATAACTTATTTAAAATTGTATTGTTGGTAGAATACGGAAGGAAAAAGGTATAACTAGATTTGTAAAGACTACATAATGAAATAAATTAAACACGTATTTATTATTTGAATGAGAGCCCGTTTGGTAGCACGAAAATCGGCTGTTTTGGCTGATTCTGCTGAAATTTATGAAATTCTGGTTGAAGTGGCTGCATTGGCTGATTCTGCTGATACAAGAAAAAAATATTTTTAAAATATATTTTATTAATAAAATAAAGAAAAAATTATATGTAAAAATAGTTAAAATGATCATCTACAGTAACTTCAGCCAATACAGTCAGAAAAGTAACTCCAACCTTACCTTTTCGGCTTATTACACAATTCAGCGCGCGAAAGCAAAATTTATGTGTTTGGTAAAAAAGTTGGCTGATAAACCTGATAAGCCAAAAATGAGGGTTGCCAAACGGCCTCTGAAAGTGATAAAAAATTTGTGACGATTAATAGGAGAAGTTGGTAAAAAAATTCAAATGTCAGAAATTAGAATATTTTTAATTCGAGTGGTTTCAGTTTTAGATGATTCTTAAATAAATCAGATCAGAATCGACAATTTTGACTTCAAATGTTGTAAAATATACATAAAACAAACATTTACTAAATCAGGATATACAAGTTTAGGCCACGCCAGAAATTACATTCTAAGAATGTCTTCACTTAGATTGTTTTCAGTTTCAGAACAAAGGTCAACAGAGTAGACTTAAACATACAAAATCAGTCTACTTCAGATCCGACCTGTCACACCCCGGACCTATCCGGACACGTCAACAACCCGGCGTACAATACGAATAGTCAACCGCAGTCTAACACATCCATATTACACTACAAGAAATCACATTTTTTATGACAAAAATTTGTGTGACACACAAAAAATTGTCATATTATGTTGAGTATTAGTTACGAAACTCAAAATTGTCACCATAAAATGATTTATTATGACAATATTATTGTTTGTCACTTTAATTCTTATATTTCGTCACTAATTGATATTTACGTACTATGACAATAAGATTTGGTGAGAAATGTCTTCGGTAAGATCTTCCATGTTGTTGAAATCTAATAAATTAAAGAATGAGCTTTTAATTATTGACTCTAATGGTATAATTCTCTTTTGTAAACTTGCAGACTTCAAGTTTATGCTGCAATTATTCACTTTAATGTTAATGATAAAGGCCCTTTGCTCAAAGTATTTCTTTTGATTAGTTAGCTTAACAAGAGAAGGTTGCGACTTGCACATGCAAACTACATCAAAAATATGTGTTAACACTTGGATCCTTAAGAGTAAGCTGTTAAATAAAATCCGATTTTCTAAAATTATGGATTACAACCTGATTAGTGTTTTGTTATATGATGATATAGAATATGATTTTTCTTATAAGTCCGCATTTGTCATTTCCTCATGTTCTAGTACGTAGAGAAATTGCAAAAGCTAACTGTGAATATGTTTGCGCTAAAAGAACAAGTGAATTAATAAACTGCGAAGAATTAGCTATTAGATGGATTCATTTCTATAGTATGTAAGTGCAAACATCAGTTTTTCTAAGAGAATGAATACTTGTACTTGGAGCACCTCAATTTATATCACATCAAGACTAAGATGACTAACTTCTTTGGAATCAGTTTTTACTTTGTAGCTGATTTTTCACTTGCCAATTGTTCTTATGATATTTTATTTACTTTTTTTTCTTTTGCAGGAGGCCAAGGGACCAAGAGGGTATATTAATGAAACACAACAAAAAGGAAACAAGATATACTTGTCGAAGATTATCAACAAATTTAATTACAGATGGAGCTCATCTAGTTAAAGTATTGGACAGTTCAAATTAAGTTTATTTTAGATTTGGTTAGCTTTGTAATGTTAGCACATGCTTTTGTAATGTAAATACACGCTCTCACAATTTGGATTATAAATATTAATTCTTTTCGCTAAAGAAGCAGTGTTTATATCTCGTACAATTTGATGGCAATATATATATATATATATATATATATATATATATATATATATATATATATATATATATATATATATATATATTGTAATCACAACTAGTTTATAAGCGACTAAAAAAGTTGTAACTAAAGTAATTCTAATTAATGACGAATTTTTATAAATATGACATCATATAAGTAACTTCATTATGATGATTTTGGTACTGTCACAATAAAAAAATATAGAAATTTTGTTGGGATTGTCACTATATGTTATGTTTTGTTGACAATTTAAGATTTTGTCATTTATTGTGTGGATTATTGGTGACAAAATGGATATTTAGATGACAAAAAAAATCGATAAAAAGGTGACACATTTGGCGTCACGAAAAGTGATTAAAATGGTGACGAAGTGCTAAAACGTCATTAAATGTTATTTATTTGGTGACGAATCAAAATTTTGTCACATATACCTAATACCACGGAGCTACGATAACGATCACTGTGACGCTCATAATTCGTCACATAAAAGTTTTAATGACAAAAAATGAATTTTACATGACGGAAAAAATTGTCACATTAT